ATCAAAGTAATGAGTCAAAACTACAACATTTCAATCGTTATTATAAGTAAAAGTATTGAGTCAAAGTATAATTTTTTAAAAATTAAAAACACGACTCTCATAGGCTCATGAAATGAACACACTTAAAAAGTATTTAACTCATTAATGAGGGGGCCAATACCACAGTAAAGTTTGTTCCAAGCACAATTGAAGAACTGGGGATTTACAAGCACTCAAGATTTCTAGGTTATGTACAAACCTGACAAATGCCTACAAAGTAATAAAACCGTAACTTTTGAGGTGATCCTGTCTACCAGACTGAAACCTATGAATTAATGTATAAGTTTATTGTGTCTGGGATCTAACCAAATAGTAAACAGCAAGTCCAAACACCAATACGCTGGCCTAGAGAATTAATCCCTGATTGGGCCATTAAACAATGCCCTGGCATGCCTTTGTCAGGACATGCCTCCACCTATTCCACACCTTATCTCTAAGATTTGTATAGTTTTCCTTAATAATAGTGAAGTGGTTAAGGCCATACACATACTGCTTGGGTTCTCAGCTCTGAGTGTACTAGCTGGGGTACTAGCTGTGTTAAAGTCTTAAAAATGTTGCACTGATGAGGGAGAAATTGACTGGTCTTGCTTGGGAGGCCCCACAGAGGAGCAGACAAGAGAGTTATGACGACTTGAAATATGGAATTGGCTTTGAAGAGAAGTCACAGAGAAGTTTCATCAGAGCCCCTTAGGCTCTTCTCATTAAGTCTGTTCATATTCAATTTTATTTTAGGATTTTTAGTCTAAAATATCTGTCTAGCTAGCCAGCTAGCTAGTGATCAATGGCTCACTGCAGCCTGGGCTCAAGCAATCCTCCCACCTTAGCCTTCCAAGTAGCTGGGACTACAGGCATGTGCCACCACGCACAGCTAATTTTTTGTTTATAGAGATGGGGTCTATGTTGCCAGTCTTTTCTCTCTCTCTCTCTCTCTCTCTTTCTGAGATAGGATTTCACCTTGTTGCCCATGCTGGACAACTGGTTTCACTAGAGACTCGCACCACCACGCCTGGCTTATGTGTTGATACTGGAGTTAAAAAAGAAATTATTTAGGCAAATAGTGAGGGTAAGGAGGGCCTCAGTAAGGTTTTCCTTTTAATGAAAAGCAGCCCTCAAAGAATTTCTTTTCTAACAAAGAGCAGCCTGTAAAATCAAGCTGCAGATCTAGAAAGGCAAGCTAGAAGCTTGCACGGGTGAATGTTGCCAGCTGTGCCAATAGGAAAAAGGGTACCTGGGACTAGGCACGTCCACTATGGCAGCTCCATCTTCCCTTCTCTTTGCCAGTCACATGTGCAGTAAAGAGCAGGTAATGTGGTGCCGGCCAAGCAAAAATCCCATTTGTATGATAAGAAGATTAGGGTGGGGTGGCCAGCTTCTCTGCGTGCTATGTAAACATCACACCTGGTCCAACCAATCTTTGGGCCCTGTGTAGATCAGACATGGCCTCCTCAAGCCTGTCTATAAAACCCTGTGCACAGGCCAGAAGTCCCACTCGGGTGCCTCTCGTGCACAGGAGAGAGGGCTATTCTCCTCTCTCTTTCTTTTGCCTATTAAACCTCCACAATTAACCTCACTCCACGTGTGTCCATGTCCTTGATTTCCTTGGCATGAGGCAACGAACCTCAGGTGTCACCCCCGACAATGATGCCGTTTCAGTGTTACTTTCTTTTTTTTTTTTTTTTGAGATAGAGTCTCCCTCTTGCCCAGGCTGGAGTGCAGTGGCATGATCTTGGCTCACTGCAGCCTCCACCTCCCGGGTTCAAGCAATTCTCCTGCGTCAGCCTCCTGAGTAGCTGGGACTACAGGCTAATTTTAATAAGCTTGGTTATGAGGTTCCCTTGCTAATTGCAAACAAATAATTGCAAAAAAGCAAGTAAAGATTACTAAAGGCAGAGGTAGCAACCAATAGAAAAAGAAGAGAGAGAAAATCTACAAAGAAGATGCAGACATTTAAAGAACCTCATCAACAGACTCAGGTTTCCCATGTGGGACAAATAGCCTCTAGAGCAATAATTAATGCTTATAATAATGACCTTTGCTATCAAGAGGTTAAGTTAGTTTTAATATCTTCTAAGAAGGAAGAGAAACATGTAATATACTTGAATACGATTTTTGCCACAATGATTAAATTTAGTGATTAAAGTGATAACATGCATTTCTTTGATGGTTCTGAATAAACATGTTACTGTACATGGTTTACAAGGTGCTCTATATTCCTCTTTGGAAACTAAAATAATTTTAATAGGTGTTTTAGTCTGTTCTCGCATTGCTCCAAATAAATACTTCAGATTAGATAATTTATCAAGAAAAGAGATTTAATTGGCTCATGGTTCCGTAGGCTGTACAGGAAGCATGCTGCTGGCATCTGCTCAGCTTCTGGGGAGGCGTCAGGAAACTTTCAATCATGGTGGAAGGTGAAAGGGAAGCAGGCACATCTTACATGGCCGGAGCAGGAGGAAGAGAGAGAGCAGGGGGAGGTGCTACACAGTTTTAAACAAGCAGATCTCACAAAAACTCACTCACTCACTATCACGAGAACAGCACCGGGGGATGGTGCTAACCCATCCATGAGAACTCCGCCTGCATGATCCAATCACCTCCCACCAGGCCCCACCTCCAATACAGAGGATTACAATTCAACATGAGATTTAGGCTGGGACAAAGATCCAAACCACATCAATAGGAACATAAAATGGTAATTAACATCAATAGGGGAAAATGTGGGTTCTTAAACATGAGTTTTGCTTTTCAGATAACCATTGGACTAATGTGAAAAGTAGTTTAGTAAAAAGTATAGTAAAATTTTATGCCAATTTAAACTTTAGGACATTTAGGCTGGGTGCAGTGGCTCACATCTGTAATCCCAGCACTTTGGGAGGCTGAAGTGTAGGATTGCTTGAGCCCAAGAGTTCCAGGCCAGCCTGGGCAACATAGTGAGACTCCCATCTTTATTTTAAAAAACAAAAACAAAAAACAAAAAAACTTTAGGACATTTAGTTACTTAAACTAGAAAAAGCATACCCTTAGCCATACTGATATCTCTAGTCTCTCATATTGGTGAGATACCAGGATTTTTGTTGGTTTATTCTATATGGCCATCATCTAAGCTCCAATCAGAGAAACAAACAGTATCTACTAGTAATGCTAGAAAACAATAGCACTATTTGTGAGTACTCAATTAATGAATTTTCTTCCTTAAAAAATTATAGATTATAACATAACTCAAAATCAAACTGTTAAACGGAAGTATTTTCTTTTGTCCATTTTTGAAAATTCTAGTGGCAAGGCAAATAAATCTTCTCTAATTAAAGACATCTAAATCACCCAAGATCAAAGCACCAAAGCAAAAAAAAAAAAAAAAAAAGGTAGTGATGGGAAAATAAAATTATAATTAAAATTCATAACATTAAATTACAAAATAAAATATATAAATAGATCTCTTTTGAGTATAACATGAAAAAGAATTCTTTTGGGCCAGGCACAGTGGCTCACACCTGTAATCCCAGCACATGGCAAAACCCTGTCTCTATCAAAAAAAAAAAAAAAACATTAGCCAGGTGTGGCGTCACATGCCTGTAATCCCTACTTGGGAGGCTAAAGCTGGGATAAAACCTGACAAATTTAACAATTCTCAGCAGAAGTCTTTGGCTGGGTAAAAATAAGTTCAACACTAGTCAGTAACAAACAGAGATTACGTTTTGAGGTGGTCTTAATATGGTTAATAAAACAAACACAAAGCTTTAGATTAAAATATTGTTAGTATATACATAAATTATTTGGTCCATAAACTGGTAAAACTTACTATAGGATGTTGAAAATGTACCACATTTAAAACGAACACTTATTGAATAAATGGACAAAATATCTCACTAAGTTGATGTCACTTTAATAATTTAGGAAAGTGAATAAAAGTCGACTTTGCTTTAACAAATACTTAAAAACTTATAATAAAAATTAATGTTTGTGGCCGGGTGTGGTGGCTCACACCTGTAATCCCAGCACTTTGGGAGGCCAAGGCGGGCGGATCATGAGGTCAGGAGATTGAGACCATCCTGACTAACACAGTGAAACCTCGTCTCTACTAAAAATACAAAAACAAAATTAGCCAGGCATGGTGGTGGGCGCCTGTATTCTCAGCTACTTGGGAGGCTGAGGCGGGAGAATGACGTGAACCCAGGAGGTGGAGCTTGCAGTGAGCCAAGATCACACCATCGCACTCCAGCCTGGGTGACACAGCGAGACTCCGTCTCAAAAAAAAAAAAAAAAAAAAAAAAAATTAATGTCTGTATGAAGTATTATGATTTGATTAATGAGAAATCATTTGTGAGTTCTTCCTTTTTTAAACAACTATATACATTTTTGCCTTGATTCATTAAAACTAAATTATTTCATTTAAGCGCTTTACCTAGCAATGTTACCTTTTAAGTAAAATAATGGGGTCAAGGAATTAGAGAACTTAAGGGCTAGAAGAATCTTCAGGGAATATCCAGGGCAGGGGAACTGCAAACCTTAATTTGCATCAGAAGTCCCTGTGGTTCTTGTTAAAATGCAGATGGCCAGACAGGTCCTACCCTACCCATCTGACTCAGTAGCCTGGGATGGAACCTGGAAGAAATAACCATTACGGAAATAACCCTTGGGGTGGGGTTATAGCCCCACTCCCACCCCAAGGTGACTCCCATGTAGGTTGTCTACAGATCAGTGGGAGGAAAAATATTTTACAATCTACTACCTTCCTTCCTAAATCAGGAAACTTCCTAGAACATCAACATTCCATTTCTGACTCAAACTACTCCTTCAACTCCTATAGGTAACTTACTGCCTCCCGGGGCAGCCCGTTATACATTTATTGGAAGTTTCTTATAGAAACCTATACATTCAAAACATAAAGACATTCAACATGGGCTTACACAAATACATTAGTGTAAAGACTCACTGAAGAATTAAATGAAGGAAGAACTGACCTGCTTCTTCTGGTATTTGTTAATTAGATTCAGAAATAAGGCATAACATCTGGAATAGCTGGCCAAGGCTGCACAGCAGTCACGGTAAGAAGTAAGTTTGCTGCAGAAATGCCAAATGGGAAAATAAAGGTAAACTTTGTTTTTCTGTAAAATTCAAGTACACATAGTATCACTTTAAATGCAGAACTTCAAGACATTGCCCAGTTCAAGAAAAGGAGTCTAAAAATACTCTACATATCAGTTCAGGGAAGCTGCAAGGAGGCTTGCTATCTGCTATAAACTCTAGAGAGATGGATCCAGAGAAATTTAAAAGGTAACTTATATCTATGTGGTGTGAATTTACACTATCCATGTAGTTCAGAAAACACAAACTTACATGAAATTTATATGAAATCTGGTTGGATACCAGTGAGTCTCCTGGCACCACATCAGAAGCAAATGTAAAACTACTTCAGTAGGCCAGGCCCGGTGCCTCACGCCTGTAATCCCAGCACTTTGGAAGGCTGAGGCCGGTGGGTTACTTGAGGTCAGAAGCTTGAGACCAGCCTGGCCAACACAGTGAAACCCCATCTCCACAAAAATACAAAAATTAGCTGGGAGTGGTGGCACGTGCCTGTAATCCCAGCTACTCTGGAGGCAGAGGCAAGAGAACCACTTGAACCCAGGAGGCAGAGGTTGTAGTGAGCCGAGATTGCACCACTGCACTCCAGACTGGGCAACGGGGAGAGATTCTGCCTCAAAACAAACAAACAAACAAACCTATACATTCAAAACAAACAAACAAACAAACCTGCTTTAACACAGTAGATTGGTAGTGCTGTATTAATATTAGGCAAAATAGACCGACCTTAAGGCAGGAAGCCCTGAAAACAGCTTCAGAATTTCTAAAGCAAGCAAGCAAACAAAACCCATACGGCAATATTGACAAACCCACAACAAATCAGGAGATGTTCATATATTTCTTCCTAACTGATGAATCAATAGGTAAAACATCATTAATATGTTAAAAACTTGACCACATACCAGGCCATAAATAAACCTCAGTAAATTTTCAGAGAACTGGTATCTCAAAGACCACATTCTCTGGTCAAAGTGCAATTAAATTAGACACCATTTAAAAAATAAATTTTTAAAAAACTTTTTTTTGGAAATGTAAGAACACCTAATTTATAGGTCAAAGAAGCATGAAAATTACAAAAGAAATACCTAAATACAAGTAATAAAAATATTACAAATCAAAATGGGCCAGGCACAGTGGCTCACGTCTGTAATCCCAGCACTTTGGGAGGCCGAGACAGGAGGATCACTCGAGGCCAGGAGTTCAAGACCAGCCTGGCCAACATGGTGAAACCCCGTCTCTACTAAAACATACAAAAATTAGCTGGGCGTGGTGACGCATGCCACCGGAGTAGTCCCAGCTACTGCAGAGGTTGAGGCAGGAGGATCACTTGAACCTGGGAGGCGAAAGTTGCAGTGAGCCGAGATCACAACACTGCACTCCACCCTGGGCAACAGAGTGAGACCTTGTCTCAAAAAAAAAAAAAAAAAAAAGGCCACACGCGGTGGCTCAAGCCTGTAATCCCAGCACTTTGGGAGGCCGAGACAGGTGGATCACGAGGTCAGGAGATCGAGACCATCCTGGCTAACATGGTGAAACCCCGTCTCTACTAAAAAATACAAAAAACTAGCCGGGCTAGGTGGCGGGCGCCTGTAGTCCCAGCTACTCGGGAGGCTGAGGCAGGAGAATGGGGTAAACCCGGGAGGCGGAGCTTGCAGTGAGCTGAGATCCGGCCATCGCACTCCAGCCTGGGCGACAGAGCGAGACTCCGTCTGAAAAAAAAAACAAAAAGAACAAGAAAACAAAAAAAAACCTTGTAAATACTAAATTCCTCTAATTAGTATTTAGAGGAAATTTTATAGGTTTAAGGAGGCTGAAAAGAATTATGTTTTTTACTAAAATAATTAGAAGAAAAATATTATATATTCAAAGAGTAGAAGAAAATGATTCATAAGGATAAGAGCAGAAGAAATAAGACATGAAGCAAACATACAATACAGTGGGTCAATAAATATATTTGTTCTTGGTAAAAGCTAATAAAATAGGAAAGATTTAGCAAGACTAAGAGAAAAGAGAAACAGCACGAACAATCAAAATTAGGAAAGAAAGTCAATATTAACAATGAAGAAGCAGGGTAACACAGTGGTTCAAAGTATGAATTCTAGAGCCAGACCACAGTTTGAACTGCAGCTCTATGACATACTAGTTGCGTGATCTCAGGAAAATAACTAAACTTCTCTATGCCTCGATTTCCTCATATGTAAAAAGATAATGACAATAATAACACATATCTTAAAAAGTTGTTATAAGGATGAAATGAATTCGTATTAGGAAAATATTCTGAATATTGCCTAGCATGTTGTAAGTGCTATACAAATATCTGTTAAATAGGTAAAATAAATAAAAGGCAACATAATTAGAGATACAACAGAGATTAGAATAATAGTAAGAGAATAGTTGAAGCAACTTTTATATTGTTTGAAAAAAAGAGAAATTTATCAAATTCCTACAAAAACATAACTTTCTGAAACTGAACCAAGTAGAAATAAGAAACATATAACCACGTAGGAAGAAATTGAATCAGTAGTCAACAATATTCTCACACACACACACACACACACATATACCCTGGATAAAAATAGCATTTTGGGCAAGTTTTTAAAACTTTTCAAGAAGCAGATCAGCTTTTTACAGATTCTTCTAGGAAAGAGAAAAAAATTGGATTACCTCCCAACCCATTTTATGAGGCTGGTATAAACTTAACACTAAACCCAGACAAGGACAATAGGAGAAAGGAAAAATATAGGTCAATGTAACTCATGACCACCAATGACAAATCCTAAACAAAATATTAGTTAACCAAATCCAGCAATATATAATGGCTTAACTTGAGAAACTTTATTAATGTAATTTACTACATTAACGGATTTAAAAAAGAAAATCCATAATCAAAAGCAATTCAGGTAAATGTGATTTATCACATACACACAACTAAAGACAAAAACCACATGATAATCTCAATAGACACAGAAAAGGCTTTCAGTAAAATTCAACACTCCTTCATGTTAAAAACTCTCAATAAACTAGGTACTGATGCTGGGTGAGGTGGCTCACGCCTGTAATCCAGCACTTTGGGAGGCTGAGGCGGGTGGATCACCTGAGGTCAGGAGTTTGAGACCAGCCTGGACAGCATGGTGAAACTCCATCTCTACTAAAAATACAAAAATTAGCTGGGTGTGGTGGCACGTGCCTGTAATCCCAGCTACTCTGGAGGCTGAGGCAGGAGAATCGCTTGAACCTGGGAGGCAGAGGTTGTAGTGAGCCAAGATCACACCACTGCACTCCAGCCTGGATGACAAAGTGAGACTCTGTCTCAAAAAACAAATCAAAACAAAACAAAAAACTAGGTATTGAAGGAACAGACCTCAAAACAGTAAGTGCCATCTATGACAAACCCACAGCCAATATCATACTAAATGAGCAAAAGCTGGAAGCATGCCCCATGAAAACCAGCACAAGACAAGGATGCCCTCTCTCACCATTCCTATGCAACATAGTATTGGAAGTCCTAGCCAGAGCAATCAGTCAAAAGAAAGAAATAAAGGGCATCCAAACAAAAAGGGAGGAAGTCAAACTATCTCTGTTTGCAGAAGGGTACTTAAGAAAACCTACAGCAAATATTATTTTCAGCTGGTGTAACCATGAAACTATTTCCTTTAGAGTCAGAAGACAGACAACAGGTCCAACACTTACAGATGATTCTACTTCTAGAAAACCCCATCGTCTCAGCCCAAAACCTCCTTCAGCTGATAAACAACTTCTGCAGTTTCAGGATACAAAATTAATGTACAAAAATCACTAGCATTCCTATACATCAACAACAGCCAAGCAGACAGCCGAATCAGAAAGGCCATTCCATTCACAATCGCCACAAAAAGAATAATATACCTGAGAACACAGCTAACCAGGGAGGTGAAAGATCTCGACAATGAGAATTACAAAACACTACTCAAAGAAATCAGAGAAGACAAAAACAAATGGGAAAACATCCCATGCTTATGGATAGGAAGAATTCGTACCATTAAAATGGCCATACTGCCCAAAGCAATTTACAGATCCAATGCTGTTCCTATCAAACTACCAATGACACTCTTCACAGAACTAGGGGGGAAAAAAAAAAAAAAAACAAACAAAACTATTTTAAAATTTACACAGAACTGAAAAAGAGCTCAAAAAGCCAAGGAATCCTATGGAAAAAGAACAAAGCTAGAGGCATCACATTGCCTAGTTCAAACTATACTACAGGGCTATGGTAACCAAAACGGCATGGTACTGGTACAAAAACAGGCACATGGACCAAGGGAACAGAACAGAGAGCCCAGAAATAAGGCTGCACACCTACAACCACATGATCTTCAACAAAGCTGACAAAAACAAGCAATGGAGAAAAGACTCCCTATTTAATAAATGATCATGGGGTAATAGGCTAGTCATATGCAGAAGACTGAAGCCAGACCCTTTCCTTTCACTATATACAAAAATCAACTCAGGTTGGATCAAAGACTAAATGTAGCCAGGTGTAGTGGCTCACGCCTGTAATCCCAACACTTTGGGGGGCTGAGATGGGCGGATCACGAGGTCAGGAGATCGAGACCATCCTGGCAAACACGTGAAACCCCGTCTCTACTAAAAATACAAAAAAAAATTAGCTGGGTGTAGTGGCAGGCACCTGTAGTCCCAGCTACGCAGGAGGCTGAGGCAGGAGAATGGTGTGAACACGGGAGGCGGAGCTTGCAGTGAGCCGAGATCGCGCCACTGCACTCCAGCCTGGGCGACTGAGCTAGACTCTGTCTCCAAAAAAAAAAAAGACTAAATGTAAAACCCAAAACTATAAAGACCCTGGAAGATAACCTAGGCAATACTATCCTGGACATAGGAACGAGCAAAGATTTCATGACAAAGACACTAAAAGCAAATGCAACAAAAGCAAAAATTGACAAATGGCATCTAATTAAATTTAAGAGCTTCTTCACAGCAAAAGAAACTATCAACGGAGTAAACAGACAACCTACAGAATTGGAGAAAATATTTGCAAACTATGCATCTGTCAAAGGTTTGATAGCCAGGACATATAAGGAACTTAAACAAATTTACAAGAGAATACAACCCCACCAAAAAGTGGGCAAAGGGCCGGGTACAGTGGCTCATGCCTGTAATCCCAGCACTTTGAGAGGCTAGGGTGGGTGGATCACCTGAGGTCAGGCATTCGAGACCAGCCTGAGCAACATGGAGAAACCCTGTCTCTACTAAAAATACAAAAAATCAGCTGGGTGTGGTGGTGCGTGCCTGTAATCCCAGCTACTTGGGAGGCTGAAGCAGGAGAATCACTTGAATCTGGGAGGCAGAGGTTACAGTGAGCTGAGATCACCCCATTGCACTCCAGCCTGGGCAACAAGAACGAAACTCTGTCTCCAAAAAAAAAAAAAAAAGTGGGGAAAGGACATGAATAAACACTTTTCAAAAGAAGACACACATGTGGCCAACAAGCATATGAAAAAAAGTTCAATATCACAGATCATTAGAGAAATACAAATCAAAACTACAATGAGATACCATCTCATACCAGTCAGAATGGTTATTATTAAAAAGTCAAAAAATAACAGTTGCTGGTAAGGTTGCAGAAAAAAGAGAACACTCATACACTGTTGGTAGGAGTATAAATTAGTTCAATCATTGTGTAAAGCAGTACGGTGATTCCTCAATGAGCTAAAAGCAGAACTGCCATTTAACCCAGCAATCCTATTACTGGGTATATACCCAGAGGAAAACAAATCATTCTACCATAAAGATACATGCACACTAATGTTCATTGCAGCACTATTCACAATAGCAAAGACATGAAATCAACCTAAATGCCCATCATTGACAGATTGGATAAAGAAAATGTGGTACCTATACACCATGGAATACTATACAGCTATAAAAAAGAATGAGATCATGTCTTGTGCATGAACATGGATGGACCTGGAGGCTATTAGCTCAGCAAACTAGTGCAGGAAAAGAAAAGCAAATACCACATGTTCTCACTTATAAGTGGGAGCTAAATGATGAGAACTTAAGAACACAAAGAAGAAAACAACAGATGTTGGGGTCTACTTGAGGGTGGAGAGTGCAAGGAGGGAGTGGAGCAGAAAAGATAACTCTTTTAACTATTGGATACTAGGCTTAATTCCTGGGTGATGAAATAATCTGTACCACAAACCCCTGTGACGTGAGTTTACCTATGTAACAAACCTTCACATGTACCCCTGAACCTAAAATAAAAGTTAAAAAAAAAAAAAAAAGATTCAGGGCAAGCATTTGACAAAACTTAATACCCATTAATAAGAAAAAAATCATTAATCTTCTAAAGCGTAGTTATGAAAACTTACAACAAATATTATTTTCAACTAGTAAAACCATGAAAATATTTCCTTTAAAGTCAGAAGAAAGACAACAGGCCCAACACTCACAATGCTGTATTGAACTCCTAAACGATGCGCTAAAGAAGAGATGAGGATGGGGAAAGGGTTACAATCATTGAAAAAAATTTATATGCAGATAATTTGCATAGAAAATTCAAGAGCATCTATAGACAAACTCCTAGTCTTAATGTTCATCAAGATTCTTGGATATCCTTCCTGTAGCAGACAGCTAAAATACATAAATAAATAAGTAAATATTTTTAAAGAGATATCAACACAAAATAATAAGTTCATAAGGAAGGGAAAAGAACAAGAAGAGTTTGGGTTCTTTTTTCTTTTGTCTTTTTCTTTTTTTCTTTTTTTTTTTTTTAATAGATAGGGTTTTGCTCTGTTGCCCAGGCTGGAGTGCAAGTGGCTCCATCTTGGCTTACTGCAACATCCACCTTCCAGACTCAAGCAATCCTCCCACCTCAGCCTCTCAAGTGGCTGGGACTATAGTCACACACCATCATGCCTGGCTAATTTTTTGGCAGGGGTTGGGGGGGGCGCTAGAGATGGGGTTTCACCATGTTGCCCAGGCTGGTCTCAGATTATTGGACTCAAGTGATCCCCCACCTTGGCCTCCCAAAGTTCTGGGATTACAGGTATGAGCCACTGTGCCTGACCAAGAGTTTGGATCTTAAGGGAGAAAAAAAGTGAGAAATTTGAAGGCCAGGCAGGGTATCCAGAACAAAGCTCAGGGAAGTGCAGTAGAAAAAGATTAGATCTGGAGGGAAGGAGGGGGCTGGGGCTGAAGTACCACCTGTTGGGTACTATGCTTACTGCCCGGGTAACATGATTGTTGAGACCCCAATCCTCCACGTCATACAATTTACCCACATAACAAACCTGTGTACCATTTAATCTACAATTCAAGTTGACATTCATCTAAAAAACATCAGATTTGGACTCACAGCCTCATACAGGGGTCCTGGGGTCAAGTACCAATTCAGTCTTCAGGAAAGTTTGCTTTTCTTTACAACTACAACGTTATAGCTCAAGAGAAAAGCCCCAGGCTCCCGAGAAGAATCATTATGTAAAAATACTGACAAAGAGCAGTACGGGAGGAAACAGAAATGCATAATTTAAAGACAGCTCTGAAATTTAACAACATCTTGCTTTGAGGCAACCTGGATTCAAATGATCATTATTTCTGGAAGAAATAAAGTAAGTGTAGACATGCCCAGTGAAAGCCTGAGCCAAAGTTCAAATAGCTGAAATAGAATAACCTTCTATTACAAAGTCAGATCAGACTTTCTAAGCATTGATCCCCTTCTCTGAGTTAAAACTCTTGTTTATTTCCTAGCAAATTGGAACATTTGCTTTGTTTTGTATACAGTTTTTTAAATCTCAAATAAACGGAGAGGAAGATTAAACACACACACGGAGCTCACCACTCACCAAAGAACTAAAAGGACTTAACCACCAACGACTTTAGAATCACCACAGAATCCTATAGACAATGGAGTCATTTGTTTGAATTGTTCATTTTTAACTTGGACCACTAGATTTACCCTTTCTGGTAGGTGAAGTAAAAAGAAGAAAAAGGATTGCTTGCCAGTCACACAAGCAAATATTAAAGATAACCCAAAATCTAAGCATGAGCATTTTTGTAAGGCTACTTCACATCTTAGTCTACCCACCTGAATATTCTGGCAATATTGGTACAGACGTCCTTGTCACCCATGTACTGTTCCATCGCCGTGCAGAGCTGGGGAAGGGCACTGATGCTTAGGAACTTAGTTCTTACTAATGGTGAATCAACCAAGTTTCTCAACGTAGCAGTCACCTAGGATAAAAGCATGCTTGTGCCATTTTTTTTTTAAACTGAAAAAATATAACCACAAGAAGCAGCAGAGTACAATTCATCTCATAAATTTTCTTCTATCAGTAGCTAAGTGAAGCTCCCCCTATGCCTCTCCCACCAGCAGAAGTAGCAACAAATGAAAACAAAGAAAGCCTAATTTGGTTGAAAAGTAAAGAATGAAATATTAATCTTTGTAAGCAATTGGTATACCCCAAACCCAGGGTTAAACAAATCATCATCTAGGTTTAACAGTCCTAAGATCTTCAGCTGGCCCCCTGATAGCCACGTCAGTTCTGCAGATTAGAAACTTTTTGTTCTGTTTTTCTTTCTTTTTTTTTAATTTTATAGGTATTCTTGTCTGATTGTTCTATGCTTTTATAAATAGCATCAGGTAATGATGTGGCCAAGGAATATTTAAGATCTTTACTCTCATTCTCTCCCAAGAGGCAAGTATTAAGATCTCACAAATTTGTCTTATTTTGTAAAAAAAAATAAAATAAAATAAAATTCAGGAAAGCATCTACTTTACCTTTGTCAAAGAGTCAAGAAGAGAAGAGTTTAGTAAATCATAAAATGAATGTTGTTATCTAATAATTTTAATATGCAGTGTGCTCCTTCCTTGTGGGACACTGCAGGCAAGCTACTGGTTAAGAGCCAGTTCAGCCCCACCACCCATCAGCCTGGGTTAGTTACTTAACCTCCCAGAGCACATTTTTCTCATTCAATAAAGTAGAGCTGATGATACTTGCCTAGTAGTTGTGAGGATTCAATGAGATGAGATGTGTGAATGGCATTGCTGCCATCACTTTAGAGTCAAATGACAGGGATTCAAGTCCCACATCTCTTCCTAGTGAAGTGCCTAGGGGCAGCCACTCCTTCCTCCACTTCCCCATTTCCTCATCTGTGAAAAGCAGGTGACAAGCACTGCTCACCTCTGGGGGTGAGGGGGTTGTGTGTAGCAAATGGAACCATGTAGCACTGTTTTTATTACTTATCTAATACTGTAAAGCATCATGTAAACATAAAGCATCATTATAGCCATAGTATATAAACTTCTAAAAACAGTTCTTAAGATGATGTGATTAGTTTTTCTTTATAACAACAGCAACAAAAAGATACATTAAAATATAACCGACTACCCTGAAAACACAGAAAATGTTAAAAAAATGCTTCAAATAAATGTGTACAAGTCTTTTGCAATCAATTCAATTATACAATGATTCTGTAAATTCTTCCCTGAAAGTTTCAGATATCCCAAACACTGGAGGTGAAACAAACTACTTGAGTATTCCACTTAACTCCACAGATCTGCACAATATAACAATATAGTCTTCTAAGCTAAGGAATGGACTTTTTCTTTCTTTCTTTTTTTTTTTTTTTGGAGACAGAGTCTCCCTTTGTCATCCAGGCTGGAGTGCAGTGACAGGATTTTGGCTCACTGCAACCTTTGCCTCCCCCATTCAAGCAATTCTAGTGCCTCAGCCTCCCAAGTAGCTGGAGTTACAGGTACGTGCCACCACGCCTGGCTAATTTTTGTATTTTTAGTAGAGACAAGGTTTCACCATGTTGGCCAGGCTGGTCTCGAACTTCTGGCCTCAAGTGATCCAACCACCTCAGCCTCCCAAACCTCTGGGATCACAGGGGTGCGCCACTGCGCCCAGCCAGGAATCGATCTTTTGTGAAGACTAACGAACCATTCTAGGAATTCCATTGCTGTCATAAAATGGAAAAGTCTCATCATCTGACCCCGTTTCTACCTCTTCTCCTGAGACAGCCCAGGCACTGGAGCACTACTGGTTTACATTAATTCAGAGGATGCCTCAAAACTCTCTTCCATGGAGACCGAAGAGTACAGATGCCTGACTCCCAGGCAGACGGACACCATAGGAAACCATGAAATACCCATTCCAGTCACTGCACACCAACAGTTCCTTTTCCCTGGCCCCCAAGGCATCAAAGATGGGGCATCCCAGTCCATAGTCATCCTCACGCTCCCCACATCTAACCTCTGGCAAGGGACACTGCCAGCAGAAAGGACTATAGTTTCCTTAGGAGCTTTTATTTTCTTGCTTCAATCTCAATTTTTTCTCCTTCTCAGGCCTTATTCTCACCTCATTAGCAAAAGTTTAGACAGTTCAAGGTTCTTCTGCCCCACGTACATAACTTTCATAAATAACCCAAGTCAGGAGAGAAAGTCCACATTTATATGTGACATGTCATCTCATTGAAATCCCTACCTGCACGTGATACACACAGCTGAGTTGATACAATACCTCATATATTTCCAAATTTGTCATTTGTGGTGCTGGTAGAAATAACGTGCATGAAACATACACCATGCGTTTGAAAAATACACAGCAATAGCTCAATAGATGACACCATCAACCTAGTTGCTCCAGCAGAGACACCCCAGAATCCTAGGAGGCTTTCTGCTTTCTGTCACTCCAAGCCATACTGGCTTTTTGTCCATAGCTCCCAGGATAATATTCAGTTCCCTGACCATGGTCTACAAGGATCAACAGATCTGGTCCTTCTCAAACCATCAAGCTTCATCTCATACCATATATGCCCCCATAAACTCTACTTAATGCTAGGTTATTTATGTTTTACTATCTGTCTACTCCTCCAGACTAGAAGCTTCAGTAAGGGCATAAACCTTGTTCATCCTTTTCACCACTGTGCATCCAGCTCCAAGTCCAGTGCCTGGTACATGTGGGCACTCAATAGGCATTTATTAATGGAATGAATGAAGGGATAACGTCTACAAAGGAAAGACTGGGATATCAGAACACTATGGGCTAAGCAGACATATCTCTGAGGTAGACAGATTTTAAGATTTGTTTTAAAGCAGAGGAGTGAAAAATAATGGATGAAAGAAAAATGAACTCTCTGGAAGGGGACCGGCCTCTGTGTATTTGTTCTCTAGCCTATCTCATTTCTGACAGCAGCCCCTTCCCAGGCTCCTAAACTCCCTCCCAGGCCCTAGCCCTTTCCCCACCTTACCGGTCACACGTTCACCCCTTCTCTCCATCACCAGCGTCACTGGTTCAGTTTAAGCTTACTTTATCTCTTACCCAAACTCTACAGCGCCCTGGATGGGCTCCTTCCACAGTTCACCCCCACAGCTGCTCACTGCTGCCAGAGGGGGCATCTGAAAGCCACGCCTTCCCTGTTCAAAGGCCTCCTGTGACTTCTGGCCCAGCCAGTAGCACCCATAGCCTAATGGTTCCTCAGTCTCTGAAGTGCAGTTCATCCCTCCAAATTCATCTCCTTTGCCTCCGCACCACCTGGCCATCCTTCAGACTGCACCACACGAGGTCTGCATCCCTTCATGACGCCATGCCTTTGAATAGGGCGGCTTCCTCCGTCCAGAGTGTCCTCGATTACACTCTGCCACCCCTTCTCCCCTTGGCCATCTCCTGCTCATTTTTCTTTTCTTTTTTCTTTTTCGAGACGGAGTCTCGATCTCGGCTCACTGCAACCTCCGCCTCCTGGGTTCAAGTGATTCTCCTGCCTCAGCCTCCCGAGTAGCTGGGATTACAGGCAAGCACCACCACGCCCTGCTAATTTTTGTATTTTTAGTAGAGACACGTTTTTGCATGTTGGCCAGGTTGGTCCTGAACTCCTGACCTCAAGTGATCTGCCCACCTCGGCCTCCCAAAGTGCTGGGATCACAGGCATGAGCCATTGCACCTGGCCTCCTGCTCATTTTTCAAAACCCAGTTCAAGATAACTTCTCTATGAAATCCTTTCCGAGGCTGATCAGTCACTTCCTCTTCCAGTTACCAAAGCATCCTGTTCCTGCCTCTACAACGCCCATCACAGAAGCATTGTCACTTGTCTTCTTCAGGCATCTTCTCTCCCATGGTGAGCTCCTCTAGGGTACAAACCACTTCTTATTCCTCTTTCTACTCAGAGGACAACAAATGTGCTCATAAAAAGCTCTTAAATGTTCAGCTGCCGGAGGGCTGGATGAGTGAATGAGAAGGGGGAGGAAGAGGGGAATGAGGAGGGGGAAGAAAGAAAGAAGGGACAGGAGCGACAAAAGGGAGATTTTTCCCTTTAAGACACCTCTGGCAAGAAAGTGCAGGAGCTTAGCAGAGGCCTAGGTGAACCAGGGCCTAAAGCCCTGAGGGGGAAGGATCAGGAAGAGGCCACCACTCAGATGCAGCTCTGAAGGCCCTCTATCTTGAGAGACTTGTCACCAACCTCTGAGAGCCACCAATCTCACTGTGGGGTGATAGTGGGGCCCTGAATGCTCAGACCAGTGGCCTTTTCTGGAAAAAAAATGCAAAAAAAAAAAAAAAAAAAAGGGGGGGGTGTGGGGAGGAGAGTCTAGCTAAATCATGTGGTCACAGTAAAGGCAAGTTCCAAGCCGACCCATTTAACTCTGAATTTTGCTCCAACTTTTGAATGCATTACATACAAGTGAAAATTAAAAAAAAAACACACAAGAACTGTCAGTTGAACAGAGATAAGTCTGTGAGAATTATCAATGAGTTCTGTGCCCTACAGCAGGGGCTTTATTTCCTGCCCCCAAGGAAAGCCCACCCACTGGGCCCGCCCCCAAAGTAGGAGTTAACCAAAGCCCAAGCTTTTTATGCTTGGAGGTGTGCATCCATTTCTTTCTTAACTTTCTATTCTAATTTGTATTATTTATAAAGGCACAAACTTAAACACACATTTTTCTTTTTTATTGTATATCATCTTTCAAACCACCTCAAATCCCTTACTTGAAAGAACTCTAAGTTAAATGAACACCTAGATACTTGTTTAGTCTCTAAAGGACTTAGTAGAGAAATTCCCAACCTCTTAAGCAGCATTTCACCAAGAAATAGCACATTGAAAAACACAAGTTTTAATTCCTATCTTTTTCCCCATCTCCTAACTTGCAATCCTGTGGGACTTGCAATCCTGAAGGTAGCCAGTAGGAAGAAGAAAAAAGAGAAGAAAATGACACTGATAATCCACAAAGAGGACTA